GGGATGGATTGGTTTTCGACAGGGAAAAACATAGGTGTTTTGGCGGGGTGGTAAACAGAGGGAATGGATTGATGAATGGGGCAAACCGAACAAGTAACTTAAACACGAGGGGAAGAGACTAGTTAGGGTAGAACTTACCACAAGATCGAGAGTGAATTACTCGATCTCTAGGTCTGCAATTCTCGGCTAAGACTACCAGGAACAAAAGCTCGCAAGCTGGAGAACTCCTCGAAGTACTTTGATTAAAACTCAAACGTATTCTTTACAAGCACTAAACTACGCTATTTATAATTGAGATAACCTATCCTAATTCTAAAAGATTAAGGAAACAAACTACAACTAAACAAGGAAAAGAATTCGGCTTAAACAATGAAACTTGTAAACCAAGCAACACTTCTTCTTCACCAAGCAAGCTGCCAGAAACAGCTCTTCATCCCATCTTCATGCCCTTCGATGGAAGCCTTTCAGGTAATCTCTCCCTTAGCCAATGCCATGTCTTTGTAGAGTAACAAACGTACTTTGGTGTGGTATGATGCTTTGAACTCGATTCTCCTCCATGCTCCTGAAACTGAGCTCCCAAGTTGGCATCTTGAACACCCATTCTGCCTTAGTCCAAAACTGACAGATTCAAGTTGCTGGATGGCATTTTGAAGGACTTGAAACACCACCTTCCTGGCTTCCCCTTGTCGATCCAAGCACTCCAACGTGTATAAAAACATCCAAGTTTGCTTATTCTCGAATTTCTCCTGAGCCAATTGAGAGATACAACCCTCCAAAGTGGGCTTCCCAAAACTGTTTCCACACTTAGAAAAATTCCAGTTTTGTTCTTGTTGACTTGAATCGATATTCGGACAATTAATTGGGACGTAAAGAATGATGGATTTGATATCATATCACATCATCCATGTCGTGATGACCTTGAAGCTGAAATGTCACCAAATCTTAGATTTTTTCAGATTAAGTTTGACAAAGAAATTGACTTTTAACTATAATAAAACTAAAATGATTATAATACCATTATTCAAAATGTAATATTTTTTATATTGTTTAAATTAAAATTATCTATTATCTCTATGATTTCGTATTCTCCATGAGATCCTTTTCAATTGTTATTATAGATAAAATTATCTATTAAACTCTTCATCATACTCGTAATCAATTAATCATACACTAAAAATACATCCTACAATATCCGATCGGTAGTTAACGGATCTAACTGGAGGCTCCTAATATTCGGAGGCTCTATGCCGGAGGGCGGGCCAGTACACCCTCTTGGTCAGCCCTGATGTAAATCAACTAAGCTCCAAAAATATTAGTATAGATGTATTAAATTTGTATATTTAAAGGAGACGAAAATGAAGAATATTTTGACTTGAAATGACCTTGGTAGTTTATTCGTCCATTTGAGTTTTAGTTATCATAATTCAAAGTGAACCTTTAACAATATGCTCATATTTTCAAATGTTTATTACCTATGTTTTCAAAAGCGAAGCAGTTGTGGATGGAAAATGTCAATGACTCAAGATTAATGGTTTATCGTCTAACTATTTTGCAATCGTTAATGGAACTATTCATTCATGTAAATAGTATAGATGTAAATAGTATCATATTTAGGTTGAAGAAGTTTTTATGTTGTTCTCGTATGGGCGGGTTTGTTATGGTCCACGATCCCAATGAATCATGATAGAAAGAAACTAAAAATAAGTGAAATTTAAAGATGAAAGTCAAAAGAACATTTTTATGGTTACGATTCATTTATTTGTCTTCGACTTTAAGCAATTACATACAATAAAAAAATTCAATTATTTTTTGTTTGATCTCATTCGACGCAAATATCGAGTCGATACGATGTGAATGGAATTATTATTTAACCTAAGAAAAAACATGATCGTAATCGTACCTTTCGAAATTTATTGTAAAAAATTAGACATGCTTATTTGAAAATTAAAAGAATTAAAAAAAATCAGAATTGATTGTATTTTGCCAAGTTTCCCATTTTTCTTCCTCTTCATGTTTTCCGAAGTCATTGTGAAATTAAGATTTTAAAGCTTTTGAGGGTTGATACTTGGTTTATCTATTTAACGTAAAAATCTGATGCGAAAAAATCTATTAGAAGGAACCTCTTCGCAAACTTCCACGCCACAATAATTTATCATCTTCGCCATCTCGAAATTCAATTCGCTATCATTATCTCATTGTGGAGCTAACCAACCTTAGATAATCACTGATTTTTCTTTAACCACACAAAATAAATCTACACAGAGCAAAGTCTAAATAATTATTATAACAGTATTTATCTTAAAGCAAATATTTGTTTCCCTTAATCCTGATCTCATTTACAAAAAGAAAACCAAAAGTCCAATAATAATGAGTCACCCTTAGTACATCAAATTTTGAAAAATGGACAAAATTGCCCTTCCACCAAATAAAGAGAACCAATCAAAGTGCAAGGAGGCAACAATGACATAGAGTGAAGTGCATAATATATTGTGTAGATGTGAATAGAAGAGGGAAAGCCTGTTTATGCTACGATGTGATACGGTTGTGATTCGGGCCTAATTACACATGTTTTGCCCCCCTTTTGCTTAGATGTTTGTACCAAATTCGCTCCTTAAAGGTTGGTTTTACGCTAGGTTCTTCGTGTTTGAGTGTATTTCAGGATTTAACAGGTCAAACTAGCCTCGGAGTCAAAGGATTGGCGAAAAGGATCGAAAACCGGGAGAAGAGTGGAAAAAGCGCCCATTCACGGATAAAGGAAGAAGTTCACGGTCATGCAAGACCGTGAAGAAGGGGAGTTGACCGTGAAGAGTAAGGCGTCCAGAGCCAAATTGAAGGTTACTGACGCAAGGTGAGTTCTCGGTCACCAAGACCGTGAACACAAGCAGTTGCCCGTGAACTGACGAGAGCGATGCGGAGCGTTTTGGCGCGCAGCTTGAGTTCACGGACGCGTTTGATGGTTCACGACCGTGAACTCAGGCCGTGAACTCAGCTCTTCTCGGGTTAAAAAGCTGAGCTGCAAGGACGAATGAGAGGAGAGCCCATTTTTGTGAGAGAAACACCTTCTTCAGCATTTTAGTGAGAGAAACGGAACCAAGGAGAAGAAGAGGTTAGGGTTTGGCTTCAAGACAGATTTTGGGAAGATTTCCCCAAGGAAATCTTAGCCGAAGGGTTAAGAAGAGAGGAGGCATCCCCAAAAGATGGTTTCCACCTTTTTCCCTTCTTCCCACTTATTCCATGGAGTAGTCCTCCTTTCACTTGGATGTAGTGAAACCCTAATTCTACCATATAGTTTTCTTGTATGTGGTTTGGATGATTGATATTGGGTATTGTTCAATTTGATGTTTGGGGCATTATTCACAATGATTATGCATGCTTGTGATTAGCAACTTAGGGTTTGTGCATATTTTGTGTTTAGCATCCTAGAGATTGTGCATAATTGTGCTTTGCACCCCTTAGTTTGTGCATTTAGATGCTAGTAATCTAATTTGCCACCTTAGCCTAGTTTAGAGAGGAAAATCGCCCTTTCAAGGGAGACTCAATCGAGTTGGTTTTCCTTCCACTTTCCAAGCCACCTAAACTAGGTTGACTTAGGGAAACCCTCAATATTGAATTGAACAAGTCGATTAATCGTGGTTCAACCGTCCAGCCCTAGAGTTGAGGGAGGGAGTAAGCCGATTGCCGATTGTCTAAACCGAGAGGGTCGAGTGACACGGCCTTTCATCCTCACCTCTGTTTAGCAATTGAGATTGTGGTCTCCAACCACATACGCTTTCCTCTGTGGTTCACGATTAACGTGCCCAAGGCAATCTTTCCAATCCATGTAGCATGGTAGCGGTTAGGGGGAAGCGAAACCCGAGTGATTTTCCCACAAAAGAGTTTTCAACCCAAATTTCCTTTGCTTTCTTTCATTTCAATTATCAGACCTTTAAGCCAAAGTTTTATCGCTAGATAATGATTTCAAAAACTGAAGTAGGGATAGACGGACCGGCCCGAGTCAATATAAATACTTGCCCTATACTGCACCCGATTAGAGTTTAAAAACTTGGGCTCTAATTGGGGTTTAATTGTGGTGTAGTTTCGTGCGAGTCAAGTTTTTGGCGCAGTTGCCGGGGAACACGGTCTTTCATTCTGTGAAACCCTTACTTTATATTACAAAACGAAACTGTAAAGTACATCGAGTTTAAACATTCTCGGACCCGAGCTTTACATATATATATTTGTTTCAAACTTCAAACCATAATATACATTTGCATCAGAGTCAAAACAGAAAACCGGGGAAGATAGCTTTATTACAAAATCCACACAACATAAAACATTCAAGGAGTTCGGAGTCTTCCGCCCACCTCATGGCTTCCCTTCAAGCTGGAGTCCCGATATCTACAGTACAGACCTTACTTCTGATCTTAATCTGAGGAAAAAATGGTGACGAAGGATGAGTCGTCGCTTAGTGAATAAATTCTAAGCTCGGATCGACATCAATACAAAAACAGTATTGGGCAGAAACACCCTAGCACATAACAGAACTTAAATTGTTTTATCACACTTTTCATTTTACTGAATCAATCAAGTTCACATGCTCACATTCCACAGTCAAAACACATAAAACAGATAACAGATAGAGGCATTTTGCTTATACAATTTCACTTTCAAACTTGCTAAATGATATACTCCTCGGGTTGTACAGTAGTGGAAGGCTGCAGGATAACCATGTACAGCCATCAGTTAACTGGAGTACCGCGGGACAAACCCCATCCGGTACGAACAGGAGTGCACAAGGCACGAAACAGGAGTGCTCAAGGCACAAAACAGGAGTGCTCGCACCAACAGGAATATCGCGGGACACAACCCGGACCGATACAAAAACAGGAGTCGCCACGGGATTACCCCAGCCCGGCTAACTGAACAGAATAGGAGTACCGTGGGTCGTCACCCAATCGACACGGTGCGAAGCACGAGCGCTCAAACAGGAGTATCGTGGGGTTTACCCACATCGATACAAACAGGACACACTACTGTACCGAGGTATCATAAAACCTTTTTACTTATTCTTAAGTATTCACCTCTTTTCATTAATAGTGCACTTAGACACTATAGGCTCAAAAGCATTCATAGTGCTTTTGTACCCTCAGTCACAACAGAATGGAATGTAAGCTGAGGAGCTTACTCCGAGTTATTCAAGCAGAACAGGATTAGTAAGCCTAATGGCTTACTCCAAATCTAAACAGACAAGACGGGTTCGCAAGTTCGAATACTTGCTCATAATCCGCACAATAAATCAACAGAATGTCTTTCCATATCTCATTCACAATTCATGCATTTCCAACTTCATACCAAATGCAGATAATGAATAAACACAAATAAGCCGGATCACATAGCAATATCATTTCCCATAAATTCCCATATTATATCGGAGCCTCTTCATGACCCCGATATGTATTCGGGCCACTTCATGACCCGGATACTGTGATTATGTTGAAGTAGATCTAAGATTAGAATCTACTCACAGTTTGTCTTCACTCGGCTATGCCCTTGCCTTTGGATGAGCCCCCGGCTTGATCCTTACCTCTAATCTACTGTCCTGCTACAGAAAAACAGTATATCACCCCTTCTGTCCAGCGACTTTCCTAGATGAACCAGAGATCATATCGATGATCCCAACGGTCAAATCGTAGAAAAGAAGTATGAAACCCAACCTACAAATCTCAGGACGATCCAACGGCTTGATTGTCCGGAATCGTCCTTCTCACAGGCTGTCCTGCTGCTGGACGGAAATTGGCATCACCCCCTTTGCTTCCTTCTTCTTCTTCTTCCTCTTCCTCTCCTTGATACGCTTTTCTTTCTAGCTTTCACTCTTTGTTTCTGAAAGGGGGGTGGTGGTTTTTGAGGTGGTGAAACCAGGTGAAAGGAAGAGAGCAAGAGAGGGACGTGGGAGAGAGTGAGGGGAAGGGATGAGAAGGAAATGAGAGATAAGAGGATGGGCAGATTTTTATCTCCCTTATCTAGAATTCTCCATCCCTCCAAATTGTCTATTTGGCCCTAAACTTTCCTTCACTTGCAATTAAGTCTAGAACTTCCACTATTCACTTTCTTTTTGGTTCAAAAGACTAATTTTTGTAACCCGATCACAAACACGTCATAATAATTAGTACGAGGGCAGGGATGTTACATTTCCTCCCCTCTAAATAAAATTTCGTCCCGAAATTTACCTTGAAACAAGTAGGGGTATTGTGCTCTCATGCTTTCTTCCGTCTCCCACGTGGCTTCTTCTCCAGTGTGACTTTTCCAAATTACTTTCACCATAGGAATACTTCGATTCCTAAGTTGTTTCACCTTTCGGTCCACGATCTCTTTTGGTTCCTTCATATAGCTTAGATCTTTCTGGACCTCAATCTCATCTGGTTCCAGTACATGTGACGGATTCGATCGGTTGCTTCGAAGCAAACTCACATGGAAGACATTATGAACTTGAGACAATTCTGGTGGTAAGGCAAGTCGATAGGCTACCGGACCTATCTTTTCCAGAATCTCATAAGGTCCGATATACCTCGGACTTAACTTACCCTTCTTCTGGAATCTCAAAACACCTCTCCAAGGAGACACTTTCAAAAATACTTTCTCTCCACTCTGAAATTCCATCTCTCTTCGGTGGATATCAGCATGCTCTTTTGCCGGTTTTGTGTGGCCTTCAATCGGCTTATGATAACTTTAATCTTATCCACTGTCATCTGAACGATTTCAGGTCCCTCCAATTGCCGTAACCCTTCCTCATCCCAGCACACTGGGGATCTGCATTTCCTTCCATACAGAGCTTCATATGGAGCCATACCAATACTACTATGGTACTGGTTGTTATAAGCAAATTCAATCAGTGACAAATGTTCATCCCAAGAACCTTGGAAATCCAGTACACAAGCTCGCAACATTTCCTCAAGAGTGAGGATTGTTCGCTCGGATTGACCATCGGTCTGGGGATGAAAAGCGGTTGAAAAGTTCAGACGAGTACCTAGTGCTTCTTGCAAACTCTTCCAGAATCGAGAAGTGAACCTCCGATCTCTGTCAGAGACGATGGATACTGGTACTCCATGTAGTCTCACTATTTCCTCCACATACTTCTTTGTCAGTAACTCTAGCGAACAACCCCATCTAATGGGTATAAAGTGAGCCGACTTTGTCAATCGGTCCACAATAACCCAAACGGCGTCGTTCTTCTTCTGAGTCCTAGGTAGACCATAGACAAAGTCCATGGTAATCTTTTCCCATTTCCATTCTGGAATGGACAGTGGTTGCAATTTTCCTGTTGGGGCTTGATGTTCAGCTTTCACTTTCTGCCATACCAGACACGTCAAGACATGTTCAGCCACTTCTTTCTTCATCCTTGGCCACCAATAATGAGATCTCAACGAACGGTACATTTTTGTCGTTCCGGGATGCATTGCATAAGGAGAGGAATGAGCTTCTTCCAAAATCTCCCTTCGCAATTCATCCACATTTGGAACACAAAGTCTTTCGTTTAGTGTCAGAACGCCATCTTGAAGTGTGAATTTAGTTTCTTCCCCTTTACGACTCTTATCAATAATCTTCCTCAATTCAAGGTCTTGATCCTGAACTTTAATAATTCTCTCTCAGAATTGGTCGCACTTGTAAAGTGGCCAATAACCCTCCTGTGGAATTCATTTCCAATTCAACACTCATAGCTCTCAAAGAAATCAAATTTGCCATTAAACCAGTCTCCTCATTTCTAGTACGATGCTTGTTCTTTCGACTCAAAGCATCTGCCACAACATTTGCTTTGCCTGGATGGTATTCGATGGTACAGTCGTAATCTTTCAACAACTCTAACCACCTCCTTTTCCTAAGATTTAGCTCTTTTTGCTCCATCAAGTACTTGAGACTCTTATGATCGGTAAAGATATGAAAAGTCTCACCATACAAATAATGACGCCAAATCTTTAAGGCAAATACCACAGCCGCCAGTTCTAAATCATGAGTCGGATAAGATTTCTCATACGGTCATAATTGCCTGGAAGCATAAGCAATTACTTTACCATGTTGCATGAGAACACATCCTAACCCTTGATGCAAAGCATCACTGTATACCACATAACCTCCAGTTCCTGAGGGAAGGGCAAGAACCGGTGCAGTGGTTAACTTCCACTTCAACTCTTCGAAACTGGATTGACATTTATTATCCCATATAAAAGATTGCTCTTTCCTCAGTAACTTTGTCAATGGTGCAGCAATCAGAGAAAACCCCTCAATGAACCTTCTGTAGTATCCGGCCATGCCAAGGAAACTTCTTAGTTCAGGTATATTTTTCAGTGGCTCCCATTCTATCACTGCTTCCACTTTCCTTGGATCCACCTCTATACCTCGCTCAGACACCACATGGCCCAAAAATACTACTTGATCCATCCAAAATTCACATTTGCTGAACTTAGCATACAACTGCTTTTCCCTCAGAATCTGCAGTACGATTCTCAAATGCTCCATGTGCTCTTCTTCACTTCCAGAATACACTAGAATATCATCAATAAAGACGATCACAAACTTATCTAGATATTCCTGAAACACTCGGTTCATCAGTGCCATGAACACAGCTGGAGCATTTGTTAACCCGAAAGGCATAACAAGAAATTCGTAGTGCCCATACCTAGTACGAAAAGCTGTCTTCGGTATGGACTCATCCGCTACCCTTAATTGATGATAACCTGATCTTTGATGAATCTTGGAAAAGACCCTCGATCCTTGTAGTTGGTCAAATAAATCATCAATCCGAGGTAACGGATATTTATTCTTAACCGTTAACTTGTTGAGCTTCCGGTAGTCAATACACAGACGGAAAGTTCCATCCTTCTTCTTCACAAATAATACCGGAGCGCCCCAAGGGGAGACACTAGGTCTAATAAACCCCTTATCTAGCAACTCTTGAAGTTGCTCCTTCAGTTCTTTAAGTTCAAACGGAGACATCCGGTACGGAGATACAGAGATCGGAGCAGTGCCCGGTATCAGTTTAATAGTGAAATCTATTTCCCTTTCCGGAGGTAATCCTGGCAGTTCCGAAGGGAACACATCCAGGAACTCCTTCACAACCGGAACATTTTCAGGTTTCAATTCCGGTTTGCCCTCAGTCACATAAGCCAGATACACTTCACAGCCTTCCTTCATCAAACTCACCACCTTGGTGGCCGAGACTAGGCAACTAGGCACCACCTCTCTAGTCCCTCGAAAAATCACATTCTGACCATCTGGTCTTTCGAAAATTACTTCCTTAGTATAACAGTTCATTACGGCTCTATGTTGGCTTAACCAATCCATTCCTAGAATTATATCAAATTCAGTCAGCATTAACCTCAATAAGTTAGCTGGCAGAATAGTTCCAGCTAGACTTATTGGGGCATCAGGATAGGCATATTCAATCACTACGGTATCTCCTACTGGGGTTTGAACTATTACATTCTTGTTCAACATTCCAGAGTGCACAGGCAACCCACGTGAGAATGCAGAAGATATGAATGAATGAGTAGCACCAGGATCAATCAACGCATAAGCGGTAAGATCATAGATAAGAACTGTACCAATAACGACCTCTGGAGAGATGTCAGCCTCCCTCCTAGTCATAGCAAAGGCTCGTGGCTGCACTTCACCCCGACTGCTCTGTCCACCCTGACTTTTGCCACGATTATTACCACCTCTTCCTGATCCTCTCAATGAACCTCCAGTCCTTCTGGACCCTTGAATTGTGGTCTGGGATCCAGCAGGCCTGGACTCTGACATGTGGGGACAATCACGGAGAAAGTGGCTGGTGTCTCCACATCGGAAACACCCACCAATCACCCTCCTACAAACACCCATATGCTGATTCCCACAATGTGGGCAAATAGGAGGTGGGCCTGCACTTCTCCGCTCCTGTCCGGGGTAACTGGCCACTGGACGTGAAATCTTCGGACTCTGATTAGTTCTACCCCCGAATGAGTTCCCAGCACTCGAGGAACCCACGTTCTTCCACGTTCTCTTCCTTCCTTCATCCATCTGTGCTCCCAATTCATTCACCAAATCCTCTGCTCTCATGGCAGCCTCTCTCAAGGTGGCAAGATCAGTCGTCTCTGATTTTGCTACTATCATCTTGATATGGGGATTCAGGCCTTGCTCATAGCGGTTGCATCTAGCTCGTTCAGTAGGTACCAACTCCATCGCGAAGGTCATCAAACGATGGAAAATGGCATCATACTCTTTAACAGTCTGCCCCCTTTGCTGTTTCAGGTCCAGAAACTCTTTCTTCTTCCTATCCACATACAGATCAGGCACATATTGCTTACGAAATTTCTCAATTAATTCCGCCCAGGTATACCGAATTGTACGATCCCGAGCCCCGGGTACGGTCAACCACCAGTCATAAGCATCAGACCTGAGCAGGTAGTACATATACTCCACTCTTGCTTCATCAGGACACTCAAGGAGGTTAAAGATTCGTTCCATCTCCTTGATCCAGTCCAGAGCATCTTTAGGGTCAATAGCCCCTTTAAAGAACTCAACCCCCATATTCCTCAGCCTTTCAAAATCCTTAACATAAGGATTGGCTCTATTGCGGGACTCAGCATTATTCCCATTAAAATTAGACCCTCCAGCATTAGGATTCCCATGAGGTTGCGGATCTGCTCCTTGACTGAACTCCACAAAAAACAAAGTACAAAGTCAAAATCAATAATTAGTCACTTCCCTGTGAAATCATTTAAGTTTTCCCAGTAAAATCTCGTTTAAAATGTTTGGTATCCACGGGATCATATCCCAGCTCTGATACTAAAAATGTGAAACCCTTACTTTATATTACAAAACGAAACTGTAAAGTACATCGAGTTTAAACATTCTCGGGCCCGAGCTTTACATATATATATTTGTTTCAAACTTCAAACCATAATATACATTTGCATCAGAGTCAAAACAGAAAACCGGGGAAGATCGCTTTATTACAAAATCCACACAACATAAAACATTCAAGGAGTTCGGAGTCTTCCGCCCACCTCATGGCTTCCCTTCAAGCTGGAGTCCCGATATCTACAGTACAGACCTTACTTCTGATCTTAATCTGAGGAAAAAATGGTGACGAAGGATGAGTCGTCGCTCAGTGAATAAATTCTAAGCTCGGATCGACATCAATACAAAAACAGTATTGGGCAGAAACACCCTAGCACATAACAGGACTTAAATTGTTTTATCACACTTTTCATTTTACTGAATCAATCAAGTTCACATGCTCACATTCCACAGTCAAAACACATAAAACAGATAACAGATAGAGGCATTTTGCTTATACAATTTCACTTTCAAACTTGCTAAATGATATACTCCTCGGGTTGTACAGTAGTGGAAGGCTGCAGGATAACCATGTACAGCCATCAGTTAACTGGAGTACCGCGGGACAAACCCCATCCGGTACGAACAGGAGTGCACAAGGCACGAAACAGGAGTGCTCAAGGCACAAAACAGGAGTGCTCGCACCAACAGGAATATCGCGGGACACAACCCGGACCGATACAAAAACAGGAGTCGCCACGGGATTACCCCAGCCCGGCTAACTGAACAGAACAGGAGTACCGTGGGTCGTCACCCAATCGGCACGGTGCGAAGCACGAGCGCTCAAACAGGAGTATCGTGGGGTTTACCCACATCGATACAAACAGGACACACTACTGTACCGAGGTATCATAAAACCTTTTTACTTATTCTTAAGTATTCACCTCTTTTCATTAATAGTGCACTTAGACACTATAGGCTCAAAAGCATTCATAGTGCTTTTGTACCCTCAGTCACAACAGAATGGAATGTAAGCTGAGGAGCTTACTCCGAGTTATTCAAGCAGAACAGGATTAGTAAGCCTAATGGCTTACTCCAAATCTAAACAGACAAGACGGGTTCGCAAGTTCGAATACTTGCTCATAATCCGCACAATAAATCAACAGAATGTCTTTCCATATCTCATTCACAATTCATGCATTTCCAACTTCATACCAAATGCAGATAATGAATAAACACAAATAAGCCGGATCACATAGCAATATCATTTCCCATAAATTCCCATATTATATCGGAGCCTCTTCATGACCCCGATATGTATTCGGGCCACTTCATGACCCGGATACTGTGATTATGTTGAAGTAGATCTAAGATTAGAATCTACTCACAGTTTGTCTTCACTCGGCTATGCCCTTGCCTTTGGATGAGCCCCCGGCTTGATCCTTACCTCTAATCTACTGTCCTGCTACAGAAAAACAGTATATCACCCCTTCTGTCCAGCGACTTTCCTAGATGAACCAGAGATCATATCGATGATCCCAACGGTCAAATCGTAGAAAAGAAGTATGAAACCCAACCTACAAATCTCAGGACGATCCAACGGCTTGATTGTCCGGAATCGTCCTTCTCACAGGCTGTCCTGCTGCTGGACGGAAATTGGTATCACCCCCTTTGCTTCCTTCTTCTTCTTCTTCCTCTTCCTCTCCTTGATACGCTTTTCTTTCTAGCTTTCACTCTTTGTTTCTGAAAGGGGGGTGGTGGTTTTTGAGGTGGTGAAACCAGGTGAAAGGAAGAGAGCAAGAGAGGGACGTGGGAGAGAGTGAGGGGAAGGGATGAGAAGGAAATGAGAGATAAGAGGATGGGCAGATTTTTATCTCCCTTATCTAGAATTCTCCATCCCTCCAAATTGTCTATTTGGCCCTAAACTTTCCTTCACTTGCAATTAAGTCTAGAACTTCCACTATTCACTTTCTTTTTGGTTCAAAAGACTAATTTTTGTAACCCGATCACAAACACGTCATAATAATTAGTACGAGGGCAGGGATGTTACACATTCTGAAAAAGTTTTTGGTTTTTAGTCTTGCTTTTAATTTCCAATTTTTCAAGTGTGTGTGTTCTTTGCTTGTTCTAGACTTGGTGTTTTCCGATTGTGTGTAGGAGGTGCATGACCCGGAGCAACCTGGAGCCCTTGCTACCACTTGATGAGGACATAAACCGAAGTCTCCAACTCCTAGCAAGGGAGAGAGAGATAGCCGAGGCAAGGAGAAGGAGTGAAAGAGGGGGACAACAATTTGGTCCCGGTGTTAGTGGAGAAGTAGTTGAAGAAGTGGAAGTTGAACCCATCATTGAAGAGGAAATGGCCGGGGAACCAAAGGCAAGATGGAGCCGCTCAAGTCCGCCATATGAATGAGGAGGTGGGATAAGAAGGAGCCCCGAGGACGATGGGGTACTACATGGCCCCAAGGCCGATGGACATTCAATTTCGAGATCAAGCCGGTTCTGGTGACTATGATACAAAGCAATGCTCTCTTCCACGGCCATGAAAGCGAGTCACCAAGAGAGCACGTGCAGAGATTCTTGGAGCTCGCGAGGAGCTTGAAGATTAATGGTGTGTCGGCCGAGGCTTTGCAACTAAGGCTTTTCCCATACTCACTCTCGGGAAAGGCACTTAGGTGGCTAAACAACCGCCCACCTCGGTCTATCACCTCATGGGACGACCTCCTCAACAAGTTTATGGCTCGTTATTGGCTGCCTTTGAGTGGAGAAAGAAGATTACACATTTCGAGCAAGAAGAGGATGAGACCTTGAGGGATGCTTGGGAGAGGTACTCCGACTACTTTCTTCAATGCCCTCACCATGGGTTTGAAGAGCAGTTCCGGATTGAAACCTTCTATGGAGGCCTAATGCAAGAGGATAAAATCCTCGTAGACTCCTTGTGCCAAGGAAAGTTGATGAATATGGCTCCACCCCAAATAACCGAGATACTTGAAGATATGGCCCTTAGGGGGTATGATTGGGGGTTGACTAGAAGTGGAATAAGAAGAAATGAAAGGGGAGTGAGAAGCGTGGGAGCGAGTGCTCCGGTTGAGGCAAAGTTGGATAAGCTGCTTGAGGTTATGCTTGAAGATAAAAGGCAAGGAAAATGGATGGTAATGTCGTGCGACTGGTGCTCGAGTACTAGCCACGAGATAGCGGAGTGCCAAGCAATGAAGGAGGCAACCACTCCGGAGGAGCAAGTCAACTTTGTGGCAAATTCTATGGTCAACAACCCGTATAGCAATACTCATAACCCTGGATGGAGGAACCACCCCAACTTTGCATGGGCATCACCGGCTAATCCAAGGACCCCAGGTTTCCAAGGCCCCACGGGGAACTTCCAACATCGGCTAACCTTCATCCAACAAAGGTCCCCACTCCAAGGCTCAAACTTTCAACAACCGTACCAACCACAAGGTGCCCTAGGGTTTCAACAACAACATCAACCCGACAAGTTATCCAAGCTTGAGGACCTAGTGAACGCCTTTGTGAGTACGAGTAGCCAAAAGTTTGAGAAGATTGAGCAATTTATGGATGTGGCGACTACCAAGTTTACCTCGGTTGAGGCGGATCTCCGAAGCCATCAAGCGAGTCTTCAAAGCTTGGAACCGCAAATCAGAAACCTTGCCGGTATCCTCATCGAGAGACCCAAGGGAGCCTTACCTTCCCAAACTGTGGTGAACCCAAGGATCAAGCCGGGGTGAATGCACTTCAAGTGAGGAGTGTGAAGGTGTTTCCGGAGGTCGCCACGGAAGAAGAAATAGAGAAGGAAGAGTCCAACAAAGAAGAGACCACTCCGAATAGAAGAGAGAAGAAGCCTTCGAGGAATGAGAGGAAGGCGACAAGGCAGGCATTGCCAGAGGATGGATATGTGCCACCTCTTCCTTATCCCACAAGGATGTACAAGGAGAGGTTGGACAACGAGTGTGGAGGGTTCATGGAAATGCTACGCAACCTCCACCTCAACATTCCATTCCTCGAAGCCATGGCGCAAATGCTAAGATATGCCAAGTACCACAAAGGATTCCTCATCAAGAAGCCAAGGCTTGAAGGCCTGGACAACACGACTCTTGGCGACGAGTGCTCGTCTTTCTTCCTCGACCGCTTTCCCAAATTGCGGTCCGACCCAGGTAGCTTTACTATCCCTCTTGATATTGATGATTACCATATAGACAATGCCTTGGCGGACCTAGGAGCTAGTGTGAATGTGTTGCTTTACAAGCTTTTCAAAAATTTAGAGGTAGGTGAACTTAAGACCTCTAAGCTTAGCATCACCTTAGCCGACCGTTCGGTCATTAGCTCGAGAGGTATAGTGGAGGGCATGATGGTGAGAGTGGGCAAGTTTTGCTATTCGACCGATTTCGTGATTCTCGACATAAGTGACGACTCGGATATGCCCCTCATCCTCAGCCATCCCTTTCTTGCAACCGCCAAGGCATTGATAGATGTTAATGAGGGAACCCTAATTTTGAGGGATGGTAAGGAGAGAATCAAGCTTGAAATTTATCCTAGGGTGAGGAGTGATGAAGTGAAGGGGGTAGTCTCAGATGATTTGAATGAGAGTGGAGGAGAGCCTCCTATGGAAAACCCCAACATTACGTGTGTTGTCTTTGATGATGTTGAGCAGGAAGTTAAGAAGGGTCCTAAGCCAAAAGGACCAAGATTGAATGCTTAGAGAATAATGATGAAGGGAGCTTTGACCCAAAAGACGGGGGGGCCGAAGCAAGGTTGGCCAACCAAGAGGGCCAACTCAATGAGTCTAAGATGGGAGGCTACAAGCCTCGCCCCAGGAGTGTGGTGGATCCGCTCTCAATGGCATCACGTTTGAACTCGAGATTGATCCCCAACCGTCAAGCTAATGAAGATAAACAAGTACTTGTTGGGAGGCAACCCGAAGGAGGTTTGTTTTCTTTTCCTTAGTTTTCGTTTTAATGTCTTGTCAAGGGTTCGAGTGGTGAAGTGGTGCCCCCGTGCCGAGTGTTGTGTTTTTGTGGGTTATGGTTGTGTTGTGATCGATTAGGAGGCACGGAGGAATAGGTGGAGTCAAAAATATTGCAGAAATTCCCTGTTTTAACTTGAGCTCACGGACGGATTGCTGAGTTCACGGTCGCTAAAACCGTGAACAGGCAAACGCGTCCGTGATCTGGGCGCTGATGCATGTTCACCACCTGTCAACCACTTCGTGTTCACGGACGCATTCGCGAGTTCACGGTCGCTAAGACTGTGAATTGGGCAACACGTCTGTGAACTTAGAGCTTTTCCTATAAAAGTGGCGTGAACGGCGACCCTTCACTTCACGAACAAAAACTCGCCGAAAAATTTTGAATTTTTGTCGGAAAACACGAAATCTCGTCGCTTTATCAACTTTTCCCCCAAATCCGGCGAGCAAAACCCAAAACCAACGTCATACCCAACCTCCTCTCCTCAAAACCGGCCTGTGCTGAGATTTTGGGGAGATTTGGAGCATATTTTTTCCGCCCTAGTCACCAGCGGCGAGTCTCCGGCGAGCTTCCGACTAAGCTCCGGCAACCCCTCTATGGTTAGTTTTCAGACCTGTTTTTCACCGTCCTCGCCCGCACCTCGCTTCCTCCCTCATCCTACTTGAGTCTCCAGGTTTGTTTTTCATCTTTACCTTTGTGAATTGTGGAGAATCAGATTAGGTAGTGAAGTGAGGTTGAATTTTTGTGCTTGACATGATTGAATCTAGTTAGGGCGAGGACTTAAGTGAATTAGGTCGTGTGATTGATGGATTGATTATTGCATGAGCTTTGTGAGCCTTGGTGGGCGTGTTTTAACCGAATTGTGTTTATCTTTAGAATTTGCCCACCAAGTGCTATGTTATGAATACAAGTGGGGTTTGTTTTTGATTGATGGATGGTAGCCACTTCTAATCTTTATGTGCTTGAACCGTGAAATACCAACAGTCATGCCACGATGGTTTGAGCTTAAATGTTCTAGCCATGGTGGAAAAACAAGTGTGGGGGGGGGGGGGAATCTCTTTTCCTCCCAATGAGCGGGATATGGCAATTGTTTCCAAGTATGGTGTGTGTTTGTGTTTGTGCAGGATGGTTAACACGGAATACCCATACCTTGTGGCGCTAAGGAGCAGCCCCTAAATGGAGCAAGAGGCATTTTCTGGGCAACCTCAAGAGTCGGCAACCATTGGAAACTCGACTTCACCCAGTTCGATAGGCTTCATTGTGGT